TAAAAGGTGATTAATGGACGCTAGCAATATTTTACGCGTCCTACAATATGAAACTAAAAACTATTACAGGTTCAATGCTTAGCATGTAGAGCGACCATCAAGGTTAACTCCATAGCTTTAAAGAGAATCGGTAAAGTTGCCTTAAGCCCATGTGAAAAAGGGTATATTCTTATAATGGTCCCATTTGCAGCCGCAGAGCCAAAACAACAAGTGGTCCTTGCACTGCTACTGCAGCCGCAGAACCAACACAACAAGTGGTCCTTGTACTGTTACTACAGCCGCAGAGCCAACACAACAATTGGTCCTTGCACTGCTATCGCAGCCGCGGAGCCCAACATAACAACGGATGCTACTGCTTCCCTGCTTCATTACCTTTCGAGAACCCAAATAGGTGCGCAAAAAAAAAAGAAAAACAAAAACAAAGGTTATTTATTGTAATTCGGGCGGGTGAGGGAGGGCAATAGAGCCAACCTTCACAAGGCGAGCGATAGCGAAGAGAAAGATAACCTTCTTCTTCCCAGATAGGTGACCTTAAATATCCCAAGCCACTTATCATTCTCTGCGTCATCACTTTCCCACTTGAGACAATAACCATCATCCCTTACGCCAATTACCGATTTTCTAATACTGTATTCATGAAAAATACTAATTTCAAATAATCATATGCAATCACCCGCTGACCCGAAATTACCTGTACATATCATGACAACATAATAACAAAAGAATAACCAAAAGAGTAACCATAAAAGGATACATGAAAAATTCGGGAACATGTCACTTCATTGACAAGCTTTACATAAACACATCACAATCAAATATGGCAAGGATGAGCAAACCAAATTACGTATAAAGCGCAAATATGTTGATCACACTTTATGTATAAATAGAGTTCTCCGATTAACGTTAATAATATTTACCTAAGATTTTTCTATCAGCGGTAAAGTATATAATACGTAGAACAGTATCAAACACCATATGTTCGTCCTTCACACAAATTGATCCGCTAAATAGGTCAGTATGAGAATGAATGATTATTTATTATATCAGATATACACATGATAAATTTATATAACTGATATTCTATTTTTATAGAAATAATTTTTTGTACCGTCATAATAAAGGCTCTTTTATAACGCGCAATAATAATACACTATGGTAAATGCAAGTGAATGGTTAAATGAAAAAATTCCAAAGGATCAAAGAGCACAGGCAACTCAACTTCATATATACAGACAATGTCAAAGCGGTCATACTTCATATTACAATGGTTGTACTTATTGCAGTAATAGAAACCAAAATTCTCATTCAGGCCCCCCAAATTATTCTTTCTATAATATTATTTTGGAAGGAGAGTTGGATCTTAATGGCTTTGTTAATTTGCATCAATTATATATATGCGGTGCCGGACAGAGTCAGGATCAACAACATACGATAACCAATTTAAAGATAGATAAATGTAATAAGTTAACTTATCTACAAATTTGGGATATTCCTATTTCCAATATAACGATTGGAGAGAATGAACAACTAATTACCGATTGCAATAGGTTAAAAAGTCAAGTTGAAGAATTAACTGGTGTTATTCGAAATACTAAAGGTCTTAATCTTGGTGATTTAAAATTAGCAGCTAAGAAGGTTGAAGAAAAAAATTTAGAAAAATCAAGTATCTGTTACTAAAAGTAAATTGAATGAAGATTATCAATTGTGGGTGGATCTTTTACTAGATACTCAACAAGAAGTTTTACAAAATGACAATGCTTTTGCTCGAAAACAATTAGAGAAAGTTAAAAGGAGATTATCTAGTGTGCTTACCGCTGAGGAAATCCAAGAATTATTAGGTAAAATAGTGGAAATTAATGAATTGGAAGTTCAGCTAAATAATCTCAAAATCCAAGAAAATCAATAATAGTAACTTAGGCATAAATTAAAATCAAACTTAAAGCAGATTAATTAGTTTCTTAAGACATAAATTCAAATATTATTATAAGTACTGCACTGGAATTCCATAAAGTATTTCTTTTTCTACAAATAATAATGAAAGTTATTTCTTTATTTTCATATTTTGAAAGATGAACGCACACTTGATATTTCTCATAAATTTTGGAGACATGAATCAGAACAATATGTATATTTCTCTATTAAAAATATCTCCTTTTTCGAAGTTTACATACTGTATTTATTTAGTTATCATATTATTTATTTATTATTTGTCTTTTTGTTATATTTGGTTTGGTAACTTTTTCATATAAGTTTTTAAGTTTTTAACTATTTTTAACCCAGGATGATATAACCGCTCATTAAAATTTAGGGTTAGGGTTCAGTTTTAGGGATTTTTTTTTAATATAATATATGTATATTAGATATAAGGTCCCGATTTTAGTTCTTATAAGGTTTTTTGGGAGTCCTGAACATTTTTACTTAGAGTACCCGATCCAGTTTACTTAGTACGTTTTTGAGGTATAACAACCCCTGGTGACGTAACCAGGGAGTAAGTTAGCAATGGTCATTTTTTAAAATTAAAGAATAATTTTTACTAATTCAAACGCCTGCATAAAGTATCAAACAAATTTAGATTGGATTACAAATTTTTATCAATCATATTAATGATTGTATACCTGAAATTGTATAAAAAACTGTTCTGTATTCAATTTTTGAATATGTTATCGCATCCATCGAAGCAAAGAAATTATCTTTTACCATTTTCCAACCAAAAATTCAATATTTGATTGATTTTCCTTTACTATCGGCCAAGATCATAATAGAAATTGTTATAAACTTTATTAGCTATTTCAAACTCATTAGTTAACAACAATCTTTATGCTCACTTAATAAATTAAAAGAATTGTATAAACTTAATAATATGAAAGGTGCATTTGGATTTATGACTGAAAACAGCCTAAAATGAAGGTTACGCAAAAAAAATTTGGTCCGAGAATCAAGGATCCTATTGCCACTATTATCCCGGAAGTTATTTTAGATGGTCTTTATTTAATATGACCATCTCTTACCTTTGTTACAAGAAGTAGATGAGTTTTTATAAACTATGGAGCCTCGCTATTATTATTGGAATCACCAAGCAATACGGTTAATTAAAGTATTAGGAATTCTATTACAAACGATGAGTAATTCATATTCAATTATACTACTGTGACCATAATTCCCACAAATTTGAATCTCAGAAGCGCCTTACTATTGCTCTTTAACGGAGCTTCGCCTCGAGTCAAACCTGAATTGGCTTTTATTAAATGCCTTTTCTCATGTCAATCAATGCGCAATGCATTATTAGAATGATCTAAATTTCATTTACTAAACAACGTGATTAAAATGAAATTAAATAGGAGATACAGAGCAAATACTTATTTAAATATATCAATTAAAAATACTCTTTATAATCACCTACCAATGTACTAGATTAACGCAAATAAAATGAAAGGTACGATAATACTATGAGCTTAAATAATTATTTAACTATGCTTTTAGCAGATTTTAAATATTATTTAATCTGTTGTTATCGTACCTGAGCTTTCATCTTTGCTAAAATCTTGCATTTTTGCGAATGCATCAAAATATTCTAGATTTAGTGTCATTTAATAATTTTAAAAGGATATTTTCATGATAATTCGCAAAGTTAGGTTCTTACTAGCACTATTAACGAGCTTTTAACAAGTTTTTTTTTGAAAAAAATCTAACTTTTCGTATTTTTTTTTCAAAAACCTTGTTAAAACCTCGTTAAAAGTGCTAGTAAGAAACTAACTTTGCAATTGCTATAAAAATTTCCTCTTAGCACCCTACATTATTAATAATTTTTACTAAATCTAGAATGTTTTGATG